AAAATAGCTTAATTTTTCATATAGATTGGCTAAATATATGAGCAAATGAATGGAATATTTTCGATGATCGACATTCGTAGTTTTGCAATGGGATTCGGATATCATCTAGTTAACATACCAATACATTTGCATCCTATAATTCAGATAAAATCAAGCTACCATGAACTTTGATAAAAATCGATTTTCTGCATCAGAAAGACAGATTTTTTTTCATTTTAATTAGTAATTACTTATAGGATATGGATAAACACAAAACATACACTTATGCCCAATTTAAAATTAAAACTTTTTTCATTGAAATTTAGGGTAAGAGTTCCCCATCGGTATTTTCCATTGTAAACGATCACTTTGTTTCATCAATCTTATATTTTCAATATATTTCTATGAAAACAATTCGTTTTCGACAGAAAATAAATCATGTTCACGTACTCGATAGACATTGCTCATAGTACACACTTTTTTTAAGTTTTCTATATCAATTTCTTTAATTTCATTCTTTCATTTGACCATCTGGTTTTATTTTTTGTATTATTAGTACAAGTTACAAATAGAGAAAAAAAAAAAGAAGAGAGAAAAATGTTTATAACGGCAAAAATGCACACTTGTACCGTTAGAAAAAAAAATGATGCAAACACTTACAAACGGACTCATTCTCCTTGTGGAAATCAAGAAGAAACAAAAGACAAAAAAAAGAGCATAATGCACGGATCCATTAACAACAACAATAATATTTATTATGAAAAATAGAAGCCGACAAAGAGAACTATGAGTGAAAATTAATAGAAGCAAAAAAAGAGAAAAAAAAATTCATGTTTGTTCCAGCACAGCAAAACAGTAATATATACTAGCAATCATAAAAACAAAACATAATGTTTTTTTTTTTTTCTTTTCTCATATCGCATTAAAAATAAGATAAAACAACTATACATACACACAAAACAGAAAAAAAAAGTGAACGAGATAATTTTTTGTTACATATAAATATGAGATAAAGATCAATTTAAAAAGAAAAGAAAAATGAATCATCTCATAGTTTTATTTTTCTTTGCCGGTATCTTCTTATGAGTAATTTCATGAAAAGAATAAAATCAATCAGCAACAAATAGATTCGAAAAATAGAGAATAAACAAAACATACAACAAAGATAATATAAATAGCAAAATAAAGACAAAAAAAAATGTTCATTTAATTAATTAATGAGGAGTTACAGATGATGGAGGTGGTGTTGATTGAAGTCTCATTGTATTATTATTAATACCTGTTGTAAGATCACTTGTTGAAGATGGAACAAATATTCGTTGTTGAACTGGTAATGTTCCATAAGCATTCGTTGGTACAGATGTTAATCGAATACCACGTGCTACAGACATATTATAATCAGATGATGGTGTTATTGAACGTTGTGAAGTATAATAAGTATTATTTGTTGGTGGCATATTT